GATCTATAAATGTAATTGTTGGGGTAAATACTCCCCAAAGTGGAGAATAGTCATTACTGAATACAAGAATGAATTCCTTTTAAATATTTTAGAGTGCAAGAAATCGAGAGAAGGAAACGAGAGAGGCAGAGAAAGAAAGTTGGTTTACACATATTACTTATCAGCATACATAGAATCAAAAGTCAATGGGGAAGCCAGGTTCACTTAACAGCTGTTACTAATTTAACAAATGCAGTGGTTCACTTAACAACTATGGCAAGAAAGATCGTAAATGGGGCAAAATTCGCTTAACAACTGTCTTGCTTAGCATCAGAAATTTTGGGGTCAATTGTGGTTGTAAGTCAAGGATTACCTGTATTTGTAGATTTAATGCAATAACCAGGGAATTCTCCCCTCTTAAATCCACAGCAAACATAATTTAAAATTGAAAAAGTTAAAATATATAATTACTAGAACACCAACTAGAGCAAATTTTAAAAAATGGCTGTGGTCCAGGAAATGAAATTGTATTAGTAGTATTTTCCCCACTTCTATCTAGATGTTTGGAGACACACATGCTGTATGTTAAACAGAAGCTTTGCCAAAGTCTGCACCTTCCCAGAAGAATCCAGACAAATTCTCTGAGATACTTTCTTAATGAAGCAAGATAAACAGCTTGAATGGTGCCTTGAAAAACACAGAACAAAACAGGTCAAACTTCAAAACTCTTTCAAATGACCTCTATTGATTTAAAACACGTGACTACCATTTGAACGACGAGAGCCTCCGACACCCCCGGCCCTTTCCTCTCTTTCATTCAATCCAAACCATAAGTCAAAGTTAGAACACAGGTGGAGGGGGGGAGAGAAGTGGTAGCCCTCTTAAGTTTAAAAGCTCCTTTTCTGGGAAGGTACAAATCCATTTACAATCCACAAATTCTTCTGATGTGCATGGAGGAAACTGACAACTAAGATTTAGCTAAAGATCTCTCAATCCCAGCCATTGTTTAGATTGGAGGTGTATTAGTAACCCTCGTGGGATAAAGTCAGCGTCTCTAGGTCGCCCTAACGGTTAGCACCACCATATTTTTAAGGGTCCTTCCGCCTTATGTACATTTAAAATATAAAAATCACCTGAAAAAGGGTAACGACGTCTCTGTGTGTGGATATGGTCCGACCAAATGATAAACAACACATTCAGTCGTGGTTTATTTATAGACTCCCTTTTAATTATTTATTTACGTACCTGGTGGCTGCCCCCCGACCCTTTCAGCGCCTAGTAACTTCAAGGGCCACATCGTGGCACTACCGAGTACACTTCTCTCGCGGAAAAATAATCCAACATTCACTGCAGCTGTAGTCAAGCAGATTGTAATGTACACGTTTTTTTCTTCATCAACTCAGGGAACGGGTTGAGAGGGGGGTTGAAAACCTATCGTTGTGGATACTCAAGAAAATCGCGGATCGCCCTCAACAGGGGAGATAAATATAAGAACAGAGACGCGTTTTAGGTCGCACAGTCAAATATTTCTCTCCTTACAAATGGGTAATAACCATGTTTTGGCTGAACCATAGACAATTGCTTCCATGAAAATATTGCATACCACTCTCACAACTACATTTTACCACCTATTCCAGTTATTAAGAAAATGTACTGTTTTTATTAAACAATGCTGCAAAAGGTTCCTTAACGCATTTAATTCCCTCTCCCCACCCCCGCCACGAATCATTAATGACAAAACAAATGTGCGGGTTCTTAAAACTATGTTCCTGCCTCTCAATCGTGCACATAAGCAACACCGCAATACTGTGTTCAGGTCTTGCCTCTAAAGGCATCACCAGAATTAATCGCCGTCTAAAATTCTAAAACGCGTGAGGACCCGCCTCCGTCCACCAATTTATTTCCATTCCTCACACACACACACAAATAAACGCAACCTCTTAATAGCTTCCACTGCAAATTAAACCTTTGCAAGAACCAAACCAGCCCGTGTGGGTTAGACACCACCTTTCTGGGTCTTCCAAACCTGCCTTTTTACGAATGCAGCCGTTCGCGAGAGGTTTTCTAGAAACCCACCACGGTTTCCAAAGGCAGCCTTTTAATGCAGCCAATGGAACAGTAGCAGTGTCAGGATGACATTTGGAGCCCGACTCTGATTTGTATGAGCCAGGCAAACTCCAAGAAGCCCTGAATTGCATTGGTTCTTTCTCACTCTTGGGCAAATCATCCTTCTGCTCGAGACTGAGAATCTGCCTCCTGTAACTAACCGAGTATGCTTGCTCACGCTCTTCTCTGTTTTTTTCACCTTGTATGTCCTGGCTGGCAGGAGCCCCGGCTACTTTGACAGCTGTCGCTTTAGTTGCAGTGGAGACGAATGGCCTTCCTATTGGAGCCAGAACAAGTTGAAAATATGCCACTCCACAGCTTTGAATCCAAGATGCCACACCTTCCTGCAAAAAAGCTGGAAAATGCCATTCCAGACCTGCGTTCGAGGCGACCATACCCAATCTCCATCCACTTGACTCCCTTTTGACATACAAAGGGCATATGAAAACCCGGATGGGTGGTTGAAAGGTGGAGGGGGGCTGAAAAAGCAGAGAGATCCAGAGCAGAGCAAAAGAATGCAGCTCTATTCTTGCCAGGGAAATTATAAAAAAGTTCATGTTCACAATTACCACCCACATGACCTTCGACAACCAATGGAGAACCTGAATCATCGCAAAGTTGTAAATGTTCATAAACAACGGATTTATGCCCTTTTGCTCCTCATCACCAAGAAAGAGGCAGGATTTAGAAAGGCACCATTTTACCAGAGAGCCGGTCCCATTTTTAAAGGATAACCCTCCTCCACTTTTTGCATGAAAATTATGCTAAATACATTTAGAGGCAAACAAATTATCAGACATTGGCCCACTTTCCACTAACATTTTATCCTTTACCTCCTTATAATTTCAATCTGAAAGCAGCCTGCCATGCTTCAGGTTGTTTTTTTTTAATGGGGGTGGATAATTGAGGCAAAGAACAAAAGTAGGGCAATATTTTATAAATATTTAAAGATGCACCATGGAAAAGAAGCTGTGTTTGTTACTTTTGCCTTCTGCCCCTATTCAGATCTCTGAGAATATCCATATTGGCAATTGTATCCTATGCAAAATGTGGACTTTCATTTAGGCAGATAAGATGCATTCAAGCCCCAAATTTGAATTAGGCTTATGTGATGAAGTTTAAAAGAAGTCCATAATCCTAGCCCCACTGAAGCCAAACTCATGGAACCAGGTTAGATGTCTACATTAAGTAGAACAGGATCTATTTATCACAGTTCCAATGCAAGAAGCTGCACATGAAATCTAGCAGGATTGTGCCCACAGAACCTAGCAACTTTCTACCTCCATCTCCCATTTTGGTGAATAACTCTACAAATGAGTTTGTGCTGCTGTTTTCTTCCAGGTAACTGGGGTATTGATGGCACCATCCTTATTTTTTGAAGATAATTATTTACTTTTGCAAATGTCTTATATTTCATTGTATGAATAACAGTAGGACATATGCACACATACATTCTTTGCTTACAAAGAAACACAATGTACCATCAACAAGCATTTTTATGTGTGTAACATAAAACAAACTTGGGTGATAACACAAAAGCAAATGTCAAAGATAATTCATATACACACATACAAACTTCCCTGCCCCTTCTAATTTTAACATGAAATACCTCGCCATTCACAGTGAACAAAGCAGAAAAAACACATTGTAAGGTACAAGTTATGAATAAAGATTAGTCAAAACTTTAATGGTGGAATTTATAGAGAAGTTTTTTAACTGTCATCACACTACAGAGTTACCTGGTTCAGTACAGATTTTCCCAGTTTATGGAGTTCAAGACGGAAGAAACAGACATTTCTAATACACAAGTTGTCTGAAATGCAGGAAAGTTGCAGCCTTTTATATTGAACAAGTATAGAGTGAGAGAAGAAACTGGTGGAAGAGCAGGTGGTTGTTGCTTAAATTGACTTTTTTAATTGCATCAAGCACAATTATGATGGACAATTTTCAGACAAAACATGGAATCAGCCTTCAGGTGTGCAATATGAAAGAAAAGATGAAATAGATTTTACAATGGTTACAAATCAGGATTTATCTCATAAAATTTGGACTATCAAAGACTTGAGAAGAAAGCTTATATTGCAGCATATTTAATAACAGCCTTGCAATAAATGTTTTAAAAGCTTTATATTAATCAATACTCCACACCAAATCTTTTATACATGCAAGGCAGGCCTCAGTTTCTGCTCTACATCTCCCCTAACCTTCAGATCATAGCAACTCCCATCAACACTGTTCTTGCCCCCTTTTCATTTATACAATACCATTTTGGTGATAGGTAGGTGGAGTTAAAAATAGGTAGTTTTCAAAACAGGTAGTATGAATCATTGCAGTTGAGTGTAGTAGTTTATTCTTCTTAAGGATTTCTTCCCAAACCACAACCGCAACCCCCATTATTTAAACAAATAAGTTAGAAAGTCCAACCACTTGGAAGTATATACAACTTTAGTGAAAAATTAGATAGTGTGAAATTAAGCCCTTTTCCCTTTTGGATTTTTGGGGATCTGTGCAGTCAGGTAGTTTATTTGGAAGCTAACATAGATGGGGCTCTTGCATGCGCGCTCTCTCGCTCCCCCCCTTAAAGAACAGGCAATTATTGGCTTCATTTTCCTTTCACAAATATTAGTAAAAAATTAATACTATGTTATCACTTGTTAACATAAACAGCTACCAGCTTGGATGCCCAAAGCCAATCTAGCACAGAATGGACAGCATGGGACTCTGCAATTTAGACTGAGAATAATCCAGGGTTATCTAGAGATAATGGAAGAGATCTACCTGGCCTGTCCTCTCCCCAGAGAATGGAAATGGCCATTAAAAAACAAGGGTACTTTTATGTTTATTTTAATTAAAAAAAACTTCATGAGTGTTTACAGCTGTCACTTGCAAACAGCATGCGAAAAGAGTCTTGGCATTTATTCTGCGTCTTCCTCCACCACCACCTTTTCCACTGAGGTAGTGGTGTCCTCGTTGGCCGTAGCCACCCCTCCAGAGGCGTCTTCTTTATGTTCCTTCTTCCATTTCATGCAATGGTTCTGAAACCAGATTTTGATCTGCCTCTTGGTCAAGCACAGGGCATGAGCGATCTCTATCCTCCGCAGGTGGGTCAGGTAGTGGTTGAAGTGGACTCTTTCTCCAGCTCCAGTGTTTGGTAATGGGTGTAAGTCTGATGTCCTCTCTTCCAATCTGGACCTAAAGGAGAGGTGGGGGGAGGGGCAGAGACCATCTAAGTCAGTGGTTCTCAACCTTTCTAATGCCGCGACCCCTTAATACAGTTCCTCATGTTGTGGTGACCCCCAACCATAAAATTATTTTCGTTGCTACTTCATAACTGTAATTTTGCTACTGTTATGAATCGTAATGTAAATATCTGATATGCAGGGTGTATTTTCATTGTTACAAATTGAACATAATTAAAGCATAGTGATTAATCACAAAAACAATATAGCAATGCTCGCTGGAGAAGCTTACTCTTCCTTGCTCAAAAATGTTGGGAGGGAGGGAAGGGAGGAAGATTGAAAAGGAAAGGAAGGAGATGGAGAAGGAAGGAGATTGAAGGGGGAAGGAAGGAAGGAGAGAGAGATTGAAAGGGAAGGGATGGAGATGGAGATGGAGATGGAAGGAAGGAAGGAAGGAAGGAAGGAAGGAAGGAAGGAAGGAAGGAAGGAAGGAAGGAAGATTGAAGGGGAAAGTGTAGTAATCAGTGCTCAGTCATTGCAGGGTGCAAATAATGGCCGCTCACAGGCAGCAGTTTATTCTTTATATACAGTATTAAAAGCAGGAAAAGGTTTAACATGGCAACAGCCTAGCAATAGCACTTCATTGGTTAATCTCCTTACCAATGCTTAAGGATAGAAAGCAAGAGGCCAGAAAGAGGGAGAAGTGGGCAATAACATATTGTTGATGCGAGCTGTTATCAGACAAGCAAGGTCACACAGAGCTACGCACTTTCACATTGCTCTGGTGATGTGAAGGGGGGAGTTAGATGCAGAGAGGAGGGGCACACATTAGGAGGGACAGTTTTCTGATCACTATCTGTCTCTCACCTCCACATCTCACTCCTTTTTGTTTTGTTAGATGAAATATCGTCGTAAGCAGGGTTAATAAAAGGATTATAATCAGGAGAGGAGCATCCTTGCAGTTGTTTATATAGGGCCAAAACTTGACCCTGGGGCAATGTGAGAGAGGATCTGCTGGGATTTAAAGCTCTGATACATATATTGAAAAGTGAAGGAATACATTGTATAAAACAGCATCCACCAACCAAAATAGCACAAGTTATGACCAAATAACGTAGGATATTTCCCAGTAATCCTGTGGGCAACCAAGCCCAAAGGCTTTCCCACCAAGATCCTAAAGTATCCATTTTCAAATCAGAGGCCAAATTGTGTAAAATATCAATTTGGTGCTGAATGGTTTGTGAATTATCAGAAATATTAAAACAACACATTCCCTCAAAACTTTCACAACCCAAATGTTGGCGCAGAAGCAAATAATCAATTGCAGCACGATTTTGCAAAATAGCCTTTCTCAAATCTTGCAGCTCATGGTTGATTGCTGACATAGCTGAAGAAGTAGCATTAATGTTGAGGTGGGCACGAATAGCAAGTCCTGGCATACCCACTAAAGACATAGTCAGTGCCACATATTCTGCCTTATTAAGTAACGTTGTCTCAGAGTCACAAGTGCTGTCTAGTGTGACCCCACGTCGAGAACGGTTTGAGTGAACTTGTTGTTTGGAAAGCAAAACAGGAATCAGCCGGCTGAAGCAACACTGCACTTCACTAATATTAGCAGGAATATAATTAAAAGTTTCTTGACCACATGTAAAAAACCATCCTTGCAGTAGCCAAATATGTCCATAATGAAAGAAAGTCTCTTCAAAAGCTGTGCAGTTTAAAACAGGTGAGCTAATGCGATGATAGCGAGGTTTTTTACTTGAAGAAGTACAATTAACTATTTTTGCACATGTTATATTTGCAGGGATAGCTACCACCGGGGTATGCAAAGCAATAGCATCAGGGGGTGGATAATAAGCAGTAACCCCCCCATCTAGATATAGCTTTATAGTTAAAGTTCCCATTGAATAAAATTCTGCTCAAGCCAGTGAAGTTTTGAATTACTGCAGAAGGGGTGCAAACAGACTAAACATATAGAAAGCAAATTTTTCATGTCATACATTTCAGATAAGCAGAAGACATTATTGTGTGTGATGTTAGCCAGCTGCACCCATAGATTTTGCTTCATTCGTTGCTCGAATGATTGTTTGGGTGAGATGACAGTTGCTGTTGTCACAGGGCAGATGTTAATGATCAGACACAAACAAATGATGGCTAAGGAATTTGCAGTTAAAACCGCAAAAATGGTAGCACACAGGTTCTGGGGATTTGCTCTACTTGTTGCTGTTGTCGCACTGCCTGTGCTTTGGCGTTCAAGTTCTTTTCATCTCCCCATGTCACTGGCCGACTGGCATGCCAGATCGGATTGGTTGCTGTGCCATCTGTAGAGTCACCTTGGCCATTTCTGGGGCTGGATCCAGGGACTGGTCCCAACCATTCTTTGTCTGGTTATATACCAGTGGCAGAGGCAGGCTTGTTTTCTGTTGAAAGTGTCTCTGATAAGTGGTCGAATTTTGAAAGGAAATATTCAATTGGTGTAATGTAAATAATACTTTTTTTTTGTTGTGTTACCCATGACAAATTGGGTACTCTAGATCCGTCCTTTTTTATTTGTTTGTGAAGACAGTTCTTAAAGGACCAATTAGCACGTTCCACGATGGCTTGACCAATGGAATTATAGAGAAGGCCATGAGTAAAAACAATATTCCAGGTTGTACAAAATTGCAAAAAGGCCACTGAAGAATAGGCTGGCCCATTATCAGTTTTTAAGGAAGAGGGCTTACCCAAGGCTGTAATGGCCGAAAAAAGATGAGAAACAACATGTGCAGCTGTTTCTCCTCATTGAAGCATGGACTAAATTGTTCCTGAATAGGTATCAATAGATAAATGAATACATTTCCAGGGAGCTAAAAAGAGAATATGGGTAACATCCATTTGCCATAGTTGATTAGAGGCAAAAACACGGGGATTAGGAAGACATAAAAAAAAATAGGCCCAGGAAGGAAAGAGTGACTGCGCATTACTTTTTATTTTATAGAACATCGTCGACGACTCAAGGGAAAAACAAAGTCATAAGATTGGGGTCAATCCTGGGCGTGATGTAAGCACCTGGAAGATTAAAAATAAGTTGGCACACATAATGAGAGTCAGAGATTAAGTTAAAAGACTGTTGAGAAAAGGTGTGAAAAGCCAAGATAGCAGCAGCTAATTCTGAGCATTCTGGTGAGGACTGTATTGCAGTGTAGGACACTTTTTAGGTAACATCATGAGGATCCTTGTAAGCAATTGCTCCTCTCGTTCTCCCTCCAGCTCCTACTCCAAAAGACAGTAGGAGCTTGTGGCAAGGGAGAAGGAGAAAGCAGTAGATGGACAGGAAAGGAAAAAGTCATTAAACAAGCAAGTCAAGGATCTTTAGGCAGATGACATGAAATACAGCCTATATACTGAAGAGATAAGTTATCCTGAAAATAAAATTGAAAATCAGATTTTGGAATAGAAAGAACAATATTAATTAAATCAGTTCCATTTTGACGGCAAGCTCATGTGCGTCCTAAGGTTATTATTTCAGCAACCACCTGGATAAAAAATAAAACATTTTGGGATGGGGTGTGGGGTAAATAAAGTCATTCAATACAATATATTTTTTGTACTTTTATCACAGCTAATACTCCGGTAGGTAATTTACTAGTAGGAAAAATCAAAAGTGTTAACTGACAATTTTTATGTGGAATTCTGTCCACAAATTGAGTACTCATGATGTCATTAATTTGTTCCACTGTGGCAAGTGCTGCAGATGGAACTACAATGAAATTTTCAGGTTGTTTTCCTTTGGTCAATAAATCAAATAATGGACTGAGCAAATTTGTAGGCAAAGAAAAATACGGGCAAACCCAAGTTAGGATGCCTAACAATTGCTGTAAATTGACCAATGAAATAATTTTGGGTAGGCTCAAACGAGGAAAAGCTGGGGCAAAATAAGATTGCAACATTGTATGCCTTAAATGAAGATAGGGAGAATGCAACTGTATTTTTTCTGGGGCAACTTGCATTCCATAAAGACGTAAATCATGTTGTATTTCTGAAAGCCAATTAAATTGTATCTTTGGTGCTCCAATTAAAATATCACCCATATAATGATATACCAAAGCCAATGGGTGACGTTTGTGCTACGCAGCAAGAGTGGATATCAAATTTCCCCTGTTCCACTCTTCTCAAATTGCAATTCTAAGCAGAGGGAAAAAAGTTTCAAATGAACAGCTCCCCCTTCTTCTTCCTGTCTCTCTCTCTCGCTTGTAAAGCAACACAGCCAGCCGAAAGAGACAGGGGGGGAAAAAAAAATCTCATCACCAAAAAATAGGTTTCTCTCCTTCATATGCATTTCCATAAAACTCTTCTCACACATCCTTCATCCTTATCTATCTCCTCCTCCTCCTTCACTTTCTCCTCCTTTTCCTTCTCCATCTCCTTCATAAAACTCTTCTCATGCAAACACTTACTATTACTTTTACATTACTTTTACAACAATAAAATCCACAGTTCATTATTTCTTTCATAGCCTGGCAGAGAGTGGGTGGGGGTGGGGTTTGAGGGCTAACACACACTTAGGTATCAACAAATGAACTCATTCACTTCCATTCTAAACAATTCCAATGCATAAATAATTCCACATACAAATATTTCATTTCATACTTTCTCCAGGCAAACCATTTATTCTTAAATAAGGCCTTTTTGTATTGTTGTTATCAGAGAGGGTTTGACCCTCTTCCAAGTCTTGTAAATAACACAGAACAACATAGACAAACATATATACACAAATACTGTTAAAACAACATTTATTTAAACATATGACTTGTCCTGCAAGAAGCGAGAAAAATCATGAGCTGATTCCAACCAAACATGTGGTTTTTATAGGGCACTTTATCATCTCCTATTTTTCTCACCATTCCAAGCCCAAGCATAATGTTCTGGGTGGACACACACAGACACAGACACAGACACAGACACACAGACACACAGACACACAGACACACAGACACACACACACACACACACACACACACACACANTATATAT